ATACTTTTAGATTCAGCTCTGCATTTAAAATTTTAATCTGTATATAACATTTTTTATGTTATATTTTTTTTAATTAATTTGTATTTCAATATATAATTACTATAAAAATTATTTTATGTGTATTTAAATTAAACAGAAATTTTAATTGATATTATTTCTATAAAATAATATATTAAATATGTATTAATAATATGATTATATATAAATATATAATATATATATATATATATATTATTTTTTTTCTATTTTTTTATTTTATTTAAGATTAATAATTCAAAAATCATAAATTAATAGGAAAAATAAATAATTAATTATTATATAGTAAGAATTTCTTAATAATGTAATTTTTATTTATAAAACATATGTTTATATCATATAAAACTAGGATTTTTATAAAAAATCTTTATAAAAATATATAAAAAAAAATATATTAAAATTAAATGAAATACTATTTAAATTAAATTTATAAATAAAATATAATTATGATTTTAATTTGTAAAATTAAATTAAAATAAATAAAATATAAAATTAAAATCTATATATTTATATTAATATACAAATATAAATATATATATAGATGAAATAAAATTTTATATGAAATAAAATAAAAACTCAAAACAAAAATATATAAATGAAAAGGAAAAATAGAATAAATATGAAAATTAAAAAAAATAATATAATAAAATTAATACAAAAATTTAATAAAAATAAAATTAAAATAAATAAAAATAAAAAAAGTTAAAAAAATAAAAACTTAAATTTATATTTAGATTTAGATTAACAAAAAAAAAATATTAAAAATTTAATATTATAATAAAAAAAAATTATTTATACAAACAAATAATATAATTAATACTAAAAAAAATAGAAGTAAACATTAATAAATTTTTAAAAATAAAAATATAATAGATTTATACTTTTTAAAAATGTTTAAATTTATAGTCTTAAAATAAAATAAAAAAAGCCTGAAAAACCCTAAAAAAAGTGATTCTGAAAATAAAGAGTTAAAACCACAAAAAAAACTAAAATAACTGAAGATCACTAAACCATCTTAAATATAAAAGACATATCTTTCTGTCTCCATATCTATTTAATAGGACATAGCTGTCCGTCTCCATATCTATTTAATAGGAATGACCAACGCATCAAATAATTATTATTTAGTTTTATAGAAAACCAATATTTTATCTGTTTTATTTTTAAACAAATCAGGTACGACTATAAATATATTAATATTTAAAACATCAAATCCTTTACTGTTGATCGTTTTATTCTATCAAAATGCCACGTCGCACCCATTTTATACGCCATTTGGTCCCTTGTAGGTTTAATCCCATAATCCGAATTCCTTAAAATCCGTAAATTCGGCAGCCGGTTAGAAAGCAATCCTACCCCCAGACTTCCTTTTCTAGACGTAGCTGCCGAATCTTTCGGCTAGGGATTAGGTGCTGCTAGCGAAATGGCCTATTCATCCAAATACTTAGATAAAATAACCAATAGATTCTATGTTTTGCTCGGAGATGGTGAATGTGCAGAAGGTTCAGTTTGGGAGTAGACATAAACAGGCTCGGTCAATCTGAGGAAACTTTCCTTACGCACAATGTCCAATCTTATAAAAAAAGGTTCGAGACTTTCTACTGGAATGCACTAGTGATAAACGGTCACAATATTTCTGCAATCATAAAAGTCAAAAATAAAAATAAATAACCGACCGTATTAATCTCTAAAACTCTAAAAGGAGAATATATCACCTATATATAAAATAATCTAGAAAAGCACGAAAAACAATTAGGATAATAGTTAATAATTTTATGTGAAAATATGGTCAATTTTAATAGCTTTGGAAAATTTAGCTATTATGAGAGTAGTACTTTATTTAATTATTTAGTTTTATTGCTTCAGATTCCGTTACTACTGAAATAATAGTATAAATTTTAGCTGATTAAAATCTTATTATCATATATTAGTATATCTAGACATATTACTGAAGTTATAAAATATAAAAAGAAATAATTATAGCAAAAATAATTAAAAACAGTCTAATAAATTAATAATAATAAATTAATTATTGAAGAAGGTGTAGTGTTAATCAATTTAAAGTTTAAAAAGCATAAAAAAAATACTCTAGCCAAATCTACACGTTGGAGTTGAAGCGTAGTTATTTTCTTAAAAACAGTAGATATAAAAAACTAAATTATTAATTAAAAATGCAAAAAAATCAGATTTAAAAATTCTTAAAGTTAAAATCAATATATTGAAGGCAGGTAAAACAGTAAAATTAAATATATATATATAAATGAATAAAAAATATTTAAATATTTGTAATCTTTTTTTTTAATTAAAATTATCAAAAAAAATATTATTTTAAAATAAAAATCTCGAAATTAATTTATATAGATATAATAATATATATATATATATATATATATATATATATATATATAATATATATATATGCATAATATATTTATTTTTATTATATGTATATTATTAATAATTTTTTAACAAGTATTAAAAGTTTTTATATTTATATTTAAATTAATTTTGAAATATTAAAAAATATTATATATATAATTTTAAACATTAAAAAAATTGAAATAAATTTCAATTCAGATTAATTGAAATTAATTGATTTAATCAATATTATTATTTTCTTTATTATTTTATTAAAGAAAGTTCTAAGTATTTTATTATGCTTAAAAAATAGCTAATTAAATTAAAGGATTATTAAATAGTTTATTTTATAGATCAACTATATTTATTATTTAATTAAGTATATTTTATTATTAATCTTTTTAGATATAATCACTGTTGCCTTTTTGCTATTATATTTATTTCTCTATATTTTTATTATTTAAACATATTTTTTTATTTTCAAAAATATTGCAATTTTCACACCCTATACACCTGCAATATCTCGAACATTCCATACCATCTAAATAACATTAACAGTATTTTTTTTAGCATCCAGATTTTTTACAATTGCACCCTCTTTAGTGATTATTTAATTAGCTTTATTGAATTATTCGAGAAGTAAAGGCATTTGGGTTTCTTTCTTTATTTTATTTTAAAGCCATTTCACGCTTTTCTTTATTAGATTCATTGTTTTTGCATTCAAAGCAATGGCAAATGGGATTACAATATTCTCCAATGGCAAAACAATCACAGTATAGCTTCAAACATTTAGATTTTTTACAATTGCATTGTCTTTATTGTAAAGCTTTTAATTTTTATATGTTATTTGCTTATTAATTTATTGTATGTTCTGATTTAGTTTAGGAATGACTTTTTTGAGTTAAAAATGATGACTTTTTTTTAATTTAATTTATTAATTTTTTTTATTTATTTTTTACATTTAAGTTTGAAAGTTCATCCTTGCAAACATGTGACATTTTTAATTTTTTTTTGTATTTATTTTTGAGATAACGAATTTAGTATTATATATTATATTATTAATTTGAAATTAAATTAACTATTTATTTATATAGAAAAAAATATATAAAATATTCAATATATTAATAGTAATTATTAACTTAAACAATATTAATACATTTTATTAATTATTATTTATAAATTAAAAATTTAAAAATTAAAAATTTAAATTTTAAATTTTCTCCTTTTTCAATTTAATATAAAATATAAAAAATTTTTTTATAAATTAATTTTCATTATTAATTTTATTTATTTAAAAATATCGATATTATATATACATAAAATAAAGTTTCTTTATAATAATTTCTATCCTTTAAAAAAAAAATGGAATTTTATATATTTTTATATTTTAAACAATAAAATAAAATAATACATGCTATTTATTTTTAAAATATTAAATTAGATATTTTTTTATTTGATATAAACATATATTAATAGTTATATAATAATTTTATCTAAAAAATAAAATTAATATATTAATAATATATAATAATATCTAAAAAATAAACTTAAAAATAATAAATTAAAAATATATTTTATTAACTAATAAAATATTATATATTTAAAAAAAATATATTAATAAAAAATAATTTTTAAAGAAATATATATACATTTTTTTTTTTAACATAAACAAAACAAATTTGTAATAATTTTAACAAAAATAATTTAAATTTATTTATATCAATAAAAGAAATATAAATAAAAATATTATCTATATAATATTTATATAAATATATATTTTATATTTTATATTTTTATATACATAATTATATATTTTCTATAATTTTGGTACTAATTTATCTTATCTTTATAAAGCATAAATATATATTTTAAACTATACCATAAATTCTATATCTTCTTTAAATCATGTATTTTATAAGTTATCATTAATTACTTTATTCATCATATTTTTCACATAACTTAGAATTAATTTTTTCATAGAAACCTCTCATTGCCTATAAATTATTGTGTAAAATTACTAAAAAATGTTTTTTTTAAAAAAACTATATTATTTTTTATTTCTAATTTATTATTATTAATATTATATATTTTGGAACTAAATATATTTTTATATTAATTTAAAACCTTAATGATATACATCTTATTATCCTTTCCTACTGTAATTCTAAATTTATTCATTTTCAGCAAACAAACATATAAAAAAAAATTAACTTTATATATCATAGTCATATAACATATAACAATGTGGTATTTGATATATATATATAAAAAAAAAATCATTTAATAATTATTGTTTAATCTTTAAAAAATATACATTTTATAATATAATAAATGAATTTATCTATTTCATATATTAAATGATATTAAACTATTTTTTGTTAAATATAAAAATATGATAATATTTATTAATTAAATTTTTGGATAAAATTATTGATAATATTAAATTTGTTATTTAATTTTTTTTTTAATTATGAAAAAAAAAATATTTAAAATAGAATAAAAAAAAAATTCCTTGTAAATAATAATATAAATATAATAAATAAAAAAATCTATAATTAAATCCTATTAAAATATATATTATTCATTATTTAATCACATTTCTTGTTAAATATATAATAAATATTAAAACTATAAATTAGTTCATAATAAAATGTTTTAATAAAAATATGTAATATTTTATTATTAAAAAATTAATCAGAAAAAAGCATTTGTTAATATTTATATAAAAT